CCAGCTACATTTAGTGAGCTTGATCTGTTCCACTTGTCTGTCAATGACATTTAGATAAACAATTTAAACCTTGTACATTGGAATAGAAATCTTAATTTTTTTGCAAAATAACCATCGGTCGGGAAATATGATAGCCTACTGCAGAGCCATTTGGTCAGCGACTGTCTTCTTGTTCTCACTCTTTCTTCATTTCTGATAAATATTCTAATGCTTAAACTACTTTTGCTTTTCCTTCTTTTTAAAACTTTTTACTTTCTTCTCTAACTTTTTTTCAGTCACTCACGATATTCAAGCAGCGAATCTCAAAGCTCATATTGAAAGCGCTGTTGAACATTACGGGATAATGCTCTTCAAATAATTTCATTGATTACGTTATTTACTGATTGAAGCCAGTCAAATGTTAAAATCTATATTTACTTACATGAAAAATTAACTCGTCAAATCATATCAAACAAACAAACACACAAACAAACAATCAAATAACAAAACTAAAAAGCACGCCACTGGCGTGACAAAAAAACGCATTGAGAGGAGCGCACGATCGGGTGATCATCATGAGACGGTAGAGAATCTCATGCACGTAATGAAGTCGCTCGAAGCAAATAATAAAACATTGTTTAGATGCAAATATGAGTTGATCATTCAATTAATGCATAGATGAGTCACAGGCATGGAATGAATGAATGAATGAACGAACGAACAAACGAACGAACGAATGAATGAATGAAGAATGCATTGGATGCAGTTACAGATCTAAGGAGTGGATTGGCCGAGAGAACACGTTATTTGTGTGGACAAATTAGTACAAGTGGTTGTTTGAAAGGATAAAGTAGTGTTTTTGAAAAAAAATTGACATTGCCAGAAAAGTTAGTCCACTGCTGAACATTGAAAAATTTCCGAAAAAAAGTTGTGAAATTTCCACCCCGCCTGGTATTCAACTTTTTGTTAAAAACTCCAACCCCCGGTCGTCAACTACCAAAAAAAAAGAATAAATACACAGATGAATAAATTAATGCATTGATTCGCCTGCATACGTTTGCATATGTTTGCATATAGTTTTTTTCGTTTGATGCGATGTTATGGGTCGAAATTTTATACTGTGTTGTTTTAAATATAGTATATTGCGTTGTTGTGTAGTTGTTTGGTTGTGTGGTTGTGTTGTTGTGAATGTAGAATAATTGTGTTTTTTTATTGTTAAGTTTGTATTGTGGTGTGTTTGAATTGTTGTGTGGTTGTATGGTTGTGTTGTTGTTGTGTGGTTGTGTTGTTGTTGTGTGGTCGTGCGATCGTGTTGATTTTCATATTGATCGTAGTTTTTGTTATGCATTGGAATAGTTACTCGCGTACATGATGTTGTTCTGACGCATATATAAAAAGCATTTTATGTAAAATTATGTATGTGAGTGCGTGCGTGTGCGTGTGTGTTTCACATGTGTTTTGTGTCTACCTTTTTTGCAACGAAACCATGGCTATTGATCTATTAAGCAAATACGAGGAATTGAAAAAAAAAACAGAATTCCAGGGTGAACATTTGTGAAGAAATGACAAATCTTAAGGCATTATTAAATATTACACCATTACACACCACACCATTAAACACACACACACACACACCACACACACACACACATATAAATACTAAGGTACTAAGAAGGAACCATCCAGCATTTCAGCGCACGATGGTAAGCGCCCAGATGGATGCACAGGCACACTAATACCTTGGAGAGCCGGTAGATGTTTGGCGTGGGACGTTACGGCCCCTGGCACCCTTGCCAAACGATATGTAAATCTGACAAGTAACGAATGTAACTTGACCGCAGCCAAGGCAGCGGACGAGAAAATGAAAAAACATGAAAATGCCCTCCCCTCGATGGAATTTTTGCCAATATGTATCGAAGGACCCCAACACCCTTAAATTTCTTAAGGCAATATGTAAATTAATCGCGTCAGATTCGGCGATAGCAGGGAACTGTTCTTCGCAACTAACCACATTTCGTGTTCGTTGCAGCGGTTCCTGCGTGTCTGTGTGTTTGAAAGTATCCAATTTAATGCCGAGGTGTGCGATTAACGACAAATCAAAGTGTTAATCCACTTGTAACTTAATGTTTGAATGTTAAGTGTCTTTCATCATGTTTTGGTTTTAACATACATACATACAAACATGGATACATACATAAATACATACATGTGAGATTTGCCATTGGTTTCAGACTTGGCCTGGTCATTCAAAATAAATACACGTGCCGATGTGGCGCTGGGGCGGGCGAGTTTGGGCACCACGGTTTGGTTTGTCGCCTGGGTGGGGGCCGTCAACTACGTCACTCAGCGCTAAACGAATACATTTGTCGGCTCTTCTCCAAGGTTTCAATCCCGGTTCTCAAGGAACCATCCGGCATTTCTGCGATGATGGTAGGCGCCCGGACGGATGCACACTATTACCTTGGAGAGCCGGCAGATGTTTGGCGTGGGATGTTACGGTCCCTGGCACCCTTGCCGAACGATATGTAAACCTGACAAGTAAAGAATGCGGTTTGGCCGCGGCCAGGGCAGCGGACGAGAAAATGAAAAAATATGGGAACGCCTTCCCCTCGATGGAATTCTTGCCAATATGTATCGAGGTTCTCGGCCCGATGAACCCCAACACCCTTAAATTTCTTAAGGCAATATGTAAAATGATCAGCGTCAGATCAGGCGACAGCAGGGAACTGTTTTTCGCAACTAACCACATTTCGTGCTTGTTGCAGCGGTTCCTGCGTGTCTGTGTGCTTGAAAATATCCAACTGAATGCGGACATGTGCAATTAACAACAAATCAAAGTGTTAATCCATTTGTTACTTGATGTTTGACGGTTCAGTGTCACTCATCCAGTTTTGGTTTTAACATACATACATGCATACATACATACATACATACATACATACATACATACATACATACATACATACATACGTACGTACGTACGTACATACATACATACATACATACATACATACATACATACATACATACATACATACATACATACATACATATATACATACATACATACATACATACATACATACATACATACATACATACATACATACATACATACATACATACATACATACATACATACATGCATACATACATACATACATACATACATACATACATACATACATACATACATACATGCATACATACATATATACAATAAACATACATGTATACATACATACACTCACAAATGTTATTATTTGTCAGGCTGACCTTGTTCATTGGTCGTACAGATTAATTAATTAGTATGTTTTTTTTTGTTTAAAAAAATTCTTGTTTTCTTCTTTATCAACCATCAGTTTTTTTTACATTATTTACAACGTTTTGTAAAAGTTATCTGAGGTTCCTCTAAAGTTTTTTTTGTCAATCATAAAAAAACTATCATTTCTTGAAAAAAATAACAAATGGGTATTAAAAGTTTTGAAATATTTTTCCAACCTACCCATAGCTGACGTCATGTTCTTTTCAATTATAAACAACAACTAAATCATTATCATCTTCTTCTTCTTCTAGAATATTCATCATTATTGGCTTTTGGCTTCATAATCGTTTGATTATGTGAGAGATAAATTTATGAATGAAATCATATGAAAAATATGCTCTTTATTCGAAAAATAAGAATCCTGTTTGACAAATAAAATATTTATTTGCCAGCTTTTGAAAATTGTTATTATTAAATTTGTTGTAATACTTTTATTTAATTAATTTTCTTCTTGGTAGAAATTAAATAAAAACTTAAAAATTTGTCCAAGCGCCTTTTTTGTATTTTATTTATCTTTCCGAGAAAATTTCCAACTTGATAGGTCCTGGCCTGGATAGGTCCAATTTGTCCACACAACACTGTCTACATTTCACGCAACTACACGACATATTTACGTCACATACACATCACATAACATACACATCACATTCACATACACGTCACTTAACAGATACACGTCACATACACATACACGTCACATACACATCACATCAGATACACATCACATCACGTACACATCACGTACACATGTATGGATGTATATACAAATATGCGTGTGTGTGTATATATGTATGTGTGTGTGTGTGTGTGTGTGTGAGTGTGTGTGTGTCGGAAGAACCACACACACACACACACAGACAGACAGAACATTTTGCCACACTTGCACGTAATAAGACTCATACGTTAGAGTTAAGAATATAAGTGGGTTTGAAGAAGGAAGGCGATGATGACGGTGGTAGTGATGAAGACGACGACGATGAAAATGATGATAATGATGATGATGATGATGGTAATGGTGATGATGATAACGATGATGATGATAATCATTATTTTAACATTTGAATGACTGCGTTGAAAATAATGCAAATAAATTCATACAACAATCAAATTGAATGCAATTTTGAGAAAATATAATAACAATAGTGTAGTATAAATCATTATTATTATTATTATTATTACTATTATTACTATTATTGTTATTTTTGTTATCGTTGTTAGCAAAAAGTAAAATTTATTATGACAAATTCCAATTGATGTCAATAAATATTATGAATAGTTTTGAAAGGCTGGTTGAAAGAGGAAGAATGGATGAATGACGGAATGTAATGGGGAGGCAGATGAAAAATTAATGAACGAATGAATGAATGAATGATTGACTGGCTGGCTGGCTGAATAAATATGTGAATAAAGGAAGAGATAAATGAAACGAACAAATGAACGAATGAACAAATGGACAAACGATAGAACGAATGAAAATTATGTTCATGAAAATATAAATTGGACGAATGTATATTCTAGTAATGTTTATTAGGCTTACGTTAACAAATGTCTTGTATCTTAAAAATACGCCCAACAACACTAACATAACAACAAAAGCAGCAGCAGCTGCAGCAATAGCAGCTGCAACAACCGCATTCACAAACAACAGCACGACGACAACGACAACAACAAAACCCTAAAATACTCCGAGACCAACTTTGAGGGTTTCATAGAGTCTGACGATGTAGGGGTGCTTCAGTGTGGACATGATCCTCGCTTCCCTGTGCAAGTTGTTTCTCACGTACTCGTCTTTTATCTTCTTCGTGTCTATTATCTTCAACGCCACCTGGAATACAACAAGTTGAATAACAATCCCTCTGATGAATTAAATAACAATAAATGATAAATGCTTATATAACATGCTGATGTTGTAGTTCTTTAATTAACAATTACGTTAATAACACGTTACATTAATAACATATCACATTAACGACAGGTTGCATTAATGTCATGCCAGCATCAGCATTTCATTATAGTTAGAAATCACATAACCGCAACAAAAT